TCATTGTTATTTATATAGTATTGTACTTTAACTGAATTTGTATCCAACAGCAGGTCTGTGAGGCATTTATAATTTAACTGCTGTGCTGGAAACAATGCAATACAGAATAATACAAACACAGAGTGGCATATGGTCACTATGTAATTACTTCATCAGATCAAAGTAATCAGAACATGATGTTTCAGCATCATGTTCTTCCTTCACCCCTCTTGAAATTACTCCTATGGGACATATTCTAATCAGAGCAACATTGATGCTACGGATCTACTATAATCGTCACTGTTCCAGTCCTGCCAGCATTCCATCAGCATCTCCAATAGGACAAGCTTGTGGGGGTTATTAGACCTCCAGAATTTCAGCAACACACAGAATTCAGTTCTTTTACTCACTTACTGTAACTTGACCTTGGCACCTTCCTCCATCAAGTTATAGTCTGTTCTCTCATTGTTTATATAAATTACTATGCCATACAGAGGACCTATGGGCCTTCTTCAAAGCTCATTCCAGTCAATGGAAAGATTCCCATTGACCTCATGGAGTTTGGATCAGGAGAGCACTAAAAATTTGTTTATTGCCCTGTTGGTTACTCATACTTTTTCATTTTTTCACTTCTTTACATCTGTTAGCCTGAACTCTTACTTTCCAGTTTTGGGGGTTGTATTTTTTCTTCTAATCCATAAAGTGATTCTGATATATTGTACATTGGTAACAAACCATAGTAAAACTTTCAGTTTCATATCCAGAGTCACGTCCATAATTCAAAGACCATAATAAACTCAATGTATTGACTGGAACTAATGTCTACCTTCATTATCAAGCTCTCTCCTTTCCCTGCTCTAGCCTATTGCTATGTTTTAATATGTTTCCTATACTTTTTAGAAAAGATGGGTTTCTCCTTCACTCCTTTCCCTAGCTAATAAATCTTCTTCAACTATCATTAGTACAACTCGTGAACCCATTCAATCCAAGGTCTAGATGGAGCATAATCTACCAATGACTTTATGTATTACTAATTATTCGAAATAGCAGAAACTACGTAATCTCTGAGGCCAAACTCAGCTTTTCTTTCAAACACATTAATATTGCTCTTTCAAAAAATCCGTATAGCTCAGGGGTGGGCAAACTACGGTCTGGGGGCCGCATCCGGCCCTCCAGATGTTTTAATCCGGCCCTCGAGCTCCCGCTGGGGAGCGGGGTCCGGGGCTTGCCCCACTCCACGCGGCTCCCGGAAGCAGTGGCATGTTTTCCCCCCGGCTCCTTCGCGTAGAGGCAGCCAGAGGGCTCCGCACACTGCCCCAGCCCCAAGTGCCGCCCCCACAGCTCCCATTGGCCAGGAACTGCAGCCAATGGGAGCTGCAGGGCCAGTGCCTGCAGACAGGGCAGCGTGCAAAGCCTCCTGGCTGCACCTCTGCTTAGGAGCCGTAGGGGGGACATGCCACTGCTTCTGGGAGCTGCTTGAGGCAAGCGCAGTTCAGAGCCTGCACCCCTGACTCTGTCCCACGCCCCAACCCCTGCCCCAGCCCTGATCCCCCTCCCACCCTCCAAACCCCTCAGTCCCATCCCGGAGCACCCCCTGCACCCCCATCCCTACCCCAGAGCCCACACCCCCCCGCCCCAGCCCGGAGCCCCCTCCTGCACCCTGAACTCCTCATTTCTGGCCTCACCCCAGAGCCCGCAGACCCCTGCTGGAGCCCTTACCCCCTCCTGCACCCCAACCCACAATTTCATGAGCATTACTGCCCCTCCATACAATTTCCATACCCAGATGTGGCCCTCGGGCCAAAAAGTTTGCCCACCTCTGGTATAGCTCAAGCAGCAGCATACTGTGCCAAATTCTGCTGTCTCTTATGCTGATAAACTCAGCGGAATGATTCAAAAGTTATATCCTTGTAACAAAGAGTAGTATTTGACCCATATTTTTTAAAAACAATTAAAAGTAACTTAGCATTCATTTTTGCTACCTCGAAGATACGTAGTGAAAGAGAAAACACATTTCTCTATGTAGTGTATGCACTACACTTTTTTAATCATGTGCAAAAGACAGAGGGAGAATTTAGTGGTTTGGAAAGCTGGTGCTAAATAGCCTTGGAGACAAACTTCCTTGTTCATCCACAGGCTAGATAAAACACGGATAACTGTGTAAGATTCCTATATCCTGCCCTACCAATGTGCCTCAACTCTCACCAGCAGTAACCACCTCTAGATAGGATAGGTTCACTCTCTATGTCCATTCAAACCATGATCTCTCCAATTAACACACAGACAACACAACATGGCCTAGCAGAGAGGAAGCATTGCCTAGGAGTTATAGCATAAGCAGAGAGTCAGGGGACCTGGATTTCATTTTTAATTCTGCCACTGATATATATCATGTGACCTGGGGCAAATCACATACTTTCTGTGTCTCAGTTTCCCTATTTGTAAAATGGGGATGAGGCTTACCACTTTTGTTAAGTGCTTGGAGATAACAGAATGAAAGGTACTATTCAAACACAAAAGTATCATCATCAGTTTATGGTTATGGTTTGTGTGATACCTGAAGACCTGAACTGAGACCATTATATCATCTCACAAAGACAACCATTAGACACTATCAATGTGGGCTGGATTTGAACTGGACACCTAAAAGGCAAAAGTTTCTAAAGCTCACTGCTAATCCCATAAGTTATCCTGCAATTTAAAACACATTTACCAATAAAGATATGAATGAAGAAAACAATGTCTTCTAATTTGCTAGATTTTTCTAGTCATTTAACAATTATGAGAATATATTGTGTATCTTTATAACAAATATAAACGGAAATTCAGTAATTAGAAGCAGAAAAGTGACTTGAGAACAATCATATATTACAAACAATATTAACCACATTATCCTGTCTGTGGAATCTGAGACAATACATAATAAAAATTGTTAAATGTTAAAGAAGTATAACACTTCTTGCAGTATTTCAGTCCAAAAGAAACTAGCTCGCTACAGTATTTTTTTTTAATTTATTTATTTTTGTGCCTGGTTGCAATTAAATACAGGAAGGATATTAAAACTTCCAAGAGATTTTTTTTTTCAAACCACAACAGAAGAATAGGCGCAGTTGCATAATTGGAGCCAAATCCAAAACCCACTTCCTTCTTATTTACTAGCATCAGCTAAAGGACACTATTTAGATGCTGATGCTAAAAGGTCTGGAGTTGACAACTATAAATCATCTATGCGGGGAAAATTTTCAAAAGAACCTTATGCCAAGGGTTAAAAGTTTATAGCTGAGAGACTACAGAAAGTTAATGCCCACTGCAAAAACTACATCTAGCAGTCATCCTGTCTCTCTTCAATAAAGTCCTTGAATTTTGTTTTGTTGTGGGAAAAGAAATCTTCACCAGTTAATAATCAGCTACTATTCTGCTACAGTGTAATTTGGTGGAGACACAGAATCGGAGGTCTCTTTTACAGGATGCGAGGTCGCAATGACATTCTATTTTACTAGCAGACATTTGTCATCTATACATAGCAGAGCTAAAATTAGAAAATATGCTTCCAGATCATCACGTTATATATCAGGCTTTGGTCTTTTTTCATTGGCAGCTGAATTTCAGTTCAATGTTGCCTTGTTACCGTCACTGACAGATCTGTGCAGAAAGTTTAATATTAAGGTGATCTGGGGGGAAAAAAAAAGGCCTCTTGCATGGCTTTAAGAAAAGCATAAGAATGACATCTGAGGATAATGATGGAAGCTTAAATGTTGGAATGTACAGATTTGGGGGGAGAATGGATAAAACAAACCAAATACTATTTGTCAGCACTTTCAAATTATTTCAGGTATTTAAATAGCTCTGATTCTTCATGTTCTTACACAAAGATCCCACACATTTTATCTTGAGTACAGTGAATGAAAAAGAAGGCAATACTGTCCTCTTACAGGTATAGTGTAGCCCTGCCTCCGACTTCATATCCTTAAATACTGTTTGTGTTGAATGGAAAGGTAGGTATTTTAAATAAAGCAAGGCTGAGGGAAAGAAGAAAAAGTATAAACAGGCTGCAATGTTAGCTCAGTGCCAGAAAGTGTAACAGTTGGATGCAAAAAGTTCTCCATAAAGGTCACTGTTGCCATAACAACTTTAGTAAGAGTGTCCTTCAAGAACGCATTTGGTTTGCCATCCAGGAGAAGCAATCGCTCCCTTCACCATAGAAGAATTACTAAATTCTAGCTTGAGTCAGGTTGGAACGAAATTTATCGTCGTCAGTCTGTTTTGGGATTGCTATTTTAAGGCCAAATTCTGAAGGCCTTACTCAGACAATATTCACATCTGAATCCAACTGAGAGCTTTGCTGAGTAAGGACCTAAGGATTTGACCATTATTCAGGATACAGCTACAAGGAAACAAATGCTATCTTTGAAATTAACAGCCTAAATTTTCTACACTGCAACTCCTTAGCCCGAGCCAGCTGGCATGGGCCAGCTGCAGGTTTTTAACTGCAGTGTAGACATACCCCCAGATTATATACTGACTCTGATATTCAAGTTGACATGGGCAAGTTACTTAGGGCTGAATGCTCAAAAGGAGTTAGGCTTCTAACTTCCATTCATTTCAATGGAAGTTAGGACCCTAAATAGAAGTTAGGAGTCTAACTCCTTTTGTGCATTCAGCCCTTAGCTTCTATGGAAAAAATAAACCCCATTGTTAAGACCGCACTGTACTAGGGTGATTTCATCAGCTGCGTTTATCCATACATCACAGGGACATTAAAAACACTAATTAATCAAGCCTCAAAGTGCTTTGAGACCCTCAGTAAAAGATGGAATTTAGGTGGCAGACAGAAGTGCTGTAGTAATAGTCATCAATCAAAATAAATCAACCACTACTACAGAAATATAAACTAGGAAATTTGTCTCTAGTATTGCTTTCAATGTCATTATATCAGGGATGCATTTGGCCCAATGCACAAAAACAATAAGAAAAGTAAATCTACATCAACAAGCTAAGTAAAACATTCTTTAAACCCGTACCTGAGATGACAATAGATTGCAGTCAATGTGAAGTCCCTTCCCGGTTTTATATCTTTGAAGCAGGCCGGCCATGATTGCTCCATACGTGTACAGCCCTGTAGCAAGGTCTGTCATGGCTACTCCTGGCCTAACCGGATCACCATCCTAGCAGAAGAGAAAAAATGGGAACAGGGAAGAATTAATATTCTGTTATGGTACATTCCATATAAGACAAGGGTTAAAAATATTTTCCTAGTACGCATTACAGAAACATGCTAAGAAGCTAAAATATCTTCTGAGTGAATTAAGTTGAAAAGCCTGCCACTGAAAAAGATACATTCTCACAAGTATCTGCAGATAATCTGTTCCTAGCAATTCTGTAACCTAACAGTGGTAAATTGGGAAAGAATTGTTGTGCTACTCTACCTTCTAGCTACACTATCACTTCCATTCAATAGTTTCAAAATGTCTTTTAAAAATAAGAAATTGTTAGAGGCAAAATTATTCAAAAGGAAAACACAATTTAATATACCTGGAAAACAAGGTACTGTAGGACTTGTCATACAGGTTGTCAGTGGCACATGTCTGACTGAGGAGGAAGGCAAACCGCACCCCCTATTAATTTTCTTGCTATATCTTAAAACATTCGTCACCCGTTTCCAATGGAAAAGATTGCTTTATAAAAGGAAGCCTTGAAATGCCAGTGGGAATTCACGAAGGTTTTATGAAATGACACACAATTTGAGACTCACTTTGTAAGCATATTTAATCCTCAAACATAAAACACATATATACACAAAATGAAAATCTTGTGATTCTGTTACTAAAATGTAAGAACATAATAAGAGACCCATACAGCTAATTAGTTAGGCCTACTAGTGTTTTGTATCTGCCCTTCAATACAAACACACTTTTACCAATGTTTGCTTTCTCATCAGCTAACATATTGCAAAATTACAACCAAACCAATCTGAAAGTGCCAATATTGAGCTGACTGGCTGGAAGTGCAGGTGGTTTAAAAATATTCAAAATTCTGAATCCAACTGTCCAGTCCTCCATGATTTTCCTGTAATATGCAATGTGATGCAATGAAGTGTAACAACTTCTCTTTGCAAACATGTATTTGGGACAAAAACCTGGATCTTGAATTGTAAATACTAAAAGAGAAGGAACAAAATCAGGATTGGGTTCCATCAGTCACGCTTCAGCCTTTTCTCACTGTTTAAGGTTCAGTATTTGAGATCAGCCAATCTAACTAAGTAACAAAGATTTCATAGCTTCTCTGAATCGTTTTTCAATTGTGTCCCAATTAATAATAAAGAACTAGAACCACACAAAAGCATGCCAGATTTCCATTGCGAGTGTGACAGTAATGTTATCGGCCTGTAATCTTCAAATCCCTCTGAAATCTTCAATTGCTTTTGTAAAATTAGTGCTTGTCTATAGAGTTCCTTGTCCAAAGTAAGTGCTATGTTTTGACCAACGTTCTCCTTAGGTTCAATGCAAATTTCAATGCATTCATAGTAATTGAATCACTCTAGGTACTTCTGTGGCCCCCATCACAGTATATCTGAATGTAACCCAAAAACGAATGAATTCATCCTCACAGCATCCATGTAAGCTAGGGAAGACCTATCTCCATTTTACAGATGGGAAACTAAGGCACAGACAGATAAAGTTTCTTGTCCAAGGTCATTCAGGAAATGTGTGGCAAACCGAGGAATTGAACCAAGGTCTTTTGAGTGCCAGTCCAGTGCTTTGACCATCAGACTACCCAAATGTGGAGAAATTCCTGAGCATTTCATCCCATGTCATTAGGAAACTGGGACTCAATCCTCTTTTTTTAATCGACTAACCATAATGCTGATTATGGTTGAAGAATTGTTTTGATCTTCCACCATGTGTGCTTCAGGATTGTGCTAGAAATTATTTCTTTCCCAACAAGGTTTATAGTGTCCTGAACACTCATATTTCAGGCATGAAATCGTGTCGCACTGAAATCAATGGCAACACTCCCATTGACTTCGTCCGGGCCAGGATTTCACCCCAGAAGTTTAAGATTACTGCATCCAAGAAGTTCTCTCACTTTGCTGCATTTTATTTTTGTTGTCTGAGCAAAAGGCAAAGATTTTCCAATATCACAGACTAGTCATAAATATCAGCTAGGGAATGAATAAGTCTACTAACAGAAAAGATGAGACAACCATTACTTCAGAAGTTATAGTACTTTTTACTCTAGGAAAGTTAAAAACTAAGGCTCAGATTCTGATGCCATTACTTGCATTGAATAGTTCCTTATTCCACACATGGTGGCACTGAAGTCAATGAGACTACTCTTGGAGTAAGGTACTAATCATCATGAGAAAGGGTATCAGAATTTGGCCCAAAATCAGTATGAAAAAGGTAAGTATGAAGGTTGCATCTCATAAAAGAGAGCAGTGTTTTGTCAAATGGCACACAGACAAGACACCTTTAAGCAATTCTGGCAGACATTCAATAAGACCTGAATTTGTAGAGTCACTTTAACTACTTCTCAGTTTACATTGCTAAATCCAATTACTTTTTAGGACTATAAAAGAATTATAATTCTGACTCTTTTAAAAGAACTTGGTTTCACTCAAGAAAATAAAAAGCTGTCCTTAAAGTCAAATACTGTTTTCCTATTCTGTTTTTAGCAAAGTAAGTTGCGTATATAAATTCGATAACTAGCTATCTATGAGTCATTTAAATGGGATTTTGTTTGTACCAGTAAGGTAATACTGCACTGTAAAATGCACTAAGAAATCAATTTGGGGATAAAAAATTGCAGGAAATTAAGCTTCTATATATGATGGCAAGAACTACTACTTTATTCATTATATTTTAAAATTGTCAAATGAAAAGTTAAAAAGAGACAAAGTAGAAATTAAAGAACTCTTGAAAATCAGCATTAAAAGTGCATGAATGACTAGTCTTCTGCTACTTTAGGCACAGCCCCGAGCAGGGGCCGGTGTGAAAGTTACAGAACTCCTGGTGGCACTATGACTCACAGATACCTCTTAGTAACAATAAATCCCCTGCTTATAGAGGCCTATATTAGCAATGTATTAGACCCCCCCACTCACCCCATGCTGGCTATGTTATTTTGGCTAGTAAGTAAAGGCGATGGAGCCAAGGCTCCACTCATTCCCCTCCCCACCACCTGCTTTGGGGAGGAAGCAAGCAGGCGAGTTTTCATGCTTACTTCTGTGCGTGTGGGTCCAACGGCCAGAAGCTGGGTAGAATTGCATCGGTGTATAAGGGATATTTTTTATTTCCCTGTTCTATCATGTAGTCAAGATACTATCTACCCTAAGCTGTTTCATAGTGAAGATCAAACAAAACCTTTGCCCAATATCTAGTGAAAGCCTTCAGTACGTGAAGCAAAATGTATCCATCTTAATCATAACCAAGAAGCGCGGTAGGGGCAGAGACAGAAAGGGCATAATTCTAAATTTCACCAGCTTGCAAATAAATGAGGCAGCAACATTCAGAGATTGAAAACAATCTCCACTGGTTTAAAAAGACATCAATCTCAGCCCTGATGGAGAAAATTACAAATGTGAGATGATAACGACAGGGACGATTTCAGCAGATACTGTATCACATGAACTTCTCTCTTGGATCTTGGTACCAACATCTGCCCCATCAAGTACACCATCTTCCAGTTTTTGCTTAATAAGACTGTATCTTCTCCTCCTCAAGTAGATTTCCTTTGTCTCTGTACATGGTTAATGCACAATTCTTGATCTATGATTCACAAAGAAAAAAAACTTTGTTGAACATTACTTAAGATTGATCTCATCAATAAATCAAACCATAAAAGAATTTGTATTTCCTAAATTAAAGAGTGCCAAAATCAAGCACGCTCAAATCAGAAAATGCCAGGATGCCTTAGTTCGGCCCTCTTGTGCATATGCATTATGATACAGCCTTTAATTACGTGACCCTTCCAAAAAGAGCACCCCTGGTTCATTCAGGGCATGAACAGAGGTTGGGTAATGAAGGAGTCTTGTCTATAGGACCCATTCCTCATTTGTTGCAGAAATTGGGAAGTTTGTAGTGAACAAGGCAGGGGAGCTACCTAACAGGAGCAACTAAGTGATCCTTGGGGTGAGTTTGTTGTTTGTTAGCTTGTTGTTGTATGCTTGCTTGCTTGCAGTTTATAGCGCAGTCTGTTTTGAGGCCTATGTACTGAGCCAAGCAGTCTGCTAAACTAGGCTGAGAGCTTACTAACAAGGCTCTAGCCTGCTACTCTTCAATCCCTAATCCCTTTAGGATACCATGAGAAGGGGGCGGGGCTAACTCACAGAGAACAGAAGTTTAAAAAGCCACCTCAGAGGCAACCAGAGGAGCTAGTGAACAGGGCAGTTTTGCAAGGGAATTTAGAGAAGGCGTGCAAGTGGCAGACACATCTAACAAACACATTCTAAACTTAAACCAACATCCCACTCCATCACCAAACAGAAAAAACCCTGCAAGAGTTAAAATAATGCAGGCAGATGTCCCACAGCAGAGTGAGGGGCTATCCAGTTTATTGAACTAAACGCAACAAATACAATTACCTGCCTTATGAGCAGGTTGCATACGTGTGCATATGGTGTAAGCAGTTCATGGCCCTCAGACACACAGATCAGGCTCTTAAAATCATAGTGGCTGAAATGGAAGATCTCAGGGAGACAGAGAGGCATACAGAGGAGCTTTCAGAGACACAGTAGAGCAGTCCCATCCCGAGTCTGACAGCCTCTGTGCTGGTGAGAAAGAAGAACGTCTGAGGGAACGATAGCATCAAGCTGGAGCAGACAGAAACAAACCCACCATTGCAACCCTCCTTCCAGATGTCATGGTATCCTCTCGCACTGGAGATGCCCCTCTGAGGGAGGGAACCCCTGTTATTAGGAAGAAACAGGTAATAGTAATGGGAGATTCAATTATTAGAAATATAGATGGGTTTGCGATGACCGAGAGAACCGCATGGTGAATTGCCTGCTCGGTGAGAAGGTTTGCAGACTTTGCAAGACATCTAGATAGACTAATGTGCAGTGCTGAGGAGGAGCTGGTGGTCATGATACATGTAGGTACCGGTGACACAAAGAAAGATAGGAGAAAGGTCCTGGAGGCCAAATTTAGGCTGCTAGGTAAGAGAT